AACAACAACCGGGAAGAGGCTGCAAGTCTGAGCAGTGTTCATTTTGTTGCACACAGGGTGATGATAAGTCAGAGCCTTCATGAGTGTGTGCTCACACTCAGTTTGTGGGCGACAAAGAGAGAATAACCCCTGGATAGATTTCTATGTTTCTCAAGAGAATCTGGGGGAAAGCATGTAGGGAAGGATGCTGGTACCACTGCCGCATATCACCTGAAATTGTTTGTTTGTTTGTTTTGCTGTCAGATGTTACTGTCCAAGCTCTAGGGACACAGGTTTGATTGACAGAAGCAGGGGTGATCCCTCAGCAAGAGATTTTCACTATACCTCTTAACCCGTATATGAGAATTCCCAAGGACTTATGAGATTACTTGTACCTTTTCCACATCTGGCAAAGCTAGAGTGGACTGTGTATTGTATCTTATACCATAGTGGTTGATGTAGTCTGCTAATCTTGTACCTGCAACCCACATAACACGAGTGGGAATGGACTGAGAGAAGCACTTGCCAGACTGGCTACCAGAAATCTGTACAGGCACAGCAGCTGAATCCGATGTTCTTTCCCAAGATGTTTCAGTTGGGTAAAAACAAATGACAAATGGAAAGAAGGAGCAAAAATAGTCGAAGGTAAAGGAATGAATAAATGGGTTATGCTCTGGGAAAAATCTAACATTCTTATTCTTTGAGAAATATTCAGAGTCAGGTAATAATCTCTCAGTTCAAGCATGTATAAGTTAGCGGTTAGATGAGCCATGAGGTGGCCTGAATTTTGTTAAGTTAATATGGCCCTTTTCCCATAATTCCTAATGTGATATATTATAATTCTGAACTTGATACACCTATGGCTAGAGAATAGTTATATTCTACTGGGATGGGAGTGGGAATGGGACGGAATGAAGACTTGTCATTGGTCAAGGGAGACAGATGGGACTTTCTCCTTCCATAGACAGTTACAGTCTCAGAAACTCACTGGGGCAGCTCTCTCTTATCCTGCCCAGTAGCCATGAGTCAGCTTCGACTCACTAGCAATGCGTTAATAAAGGATGCGAATCAAGCATGCTCTTTACTTCCTGGATGCCATCTTAAGAGCCTACTTTAAAACCAGACCTGAACCAAGTCACAATCTTTGTTTTGTGGATGATATCGCTAAGAGTCCACCTTAGAACTGGTATGAACCAGACCACACCTCTTATTTATCTTGGATATATAATGATGCTGCCACATATTTCCACACATTTATTGACTGCCCTGGAAATCCCAATCCCCATTTCCTGCTTGTGCCCTAGTGGAAGCAAGAAGACTCCCTGTGACTGCTGGACAGTTTTAGCTTCTGGCTCTGGACCTTGCATTTGGCTAACCTCTGCCTGACCTTCAGATTCTGGACTGAATAGCACCCACCATCATGTGAAGCAATTCTTCAAGCTGTCCTGCATTTGTGCGGCACATTGCAGCAATTTGAGGAAAGCGGAAACATGAGGAAATATACTCAAGGGAAGAGTTGGGGTTAAATGGCGTTGAATAGCATCATGGAAGAGTTGGACATTTGGGACATCATTAAACTCCAACTCCTTGGGACTAGTTTGCTATTAGTTATTCTAGAAGAGATTGTTACCACAAGCATAACAACAACAGCAACAACAGTTATTATTATTTTTCAACATTATTCTGAAATGTTTTAAAAGTATCCAGCTCTCATGTTATCTGTTTAAATGAGATAAAATTACCTCTCTTAATCTTGCTATGAAGGTTTAGTGACATAACCCAATAGACTCTAGTAAAACCTTAGATTTAAAGTAAACATTTGTTAATTAGGGTTAGTAATTGAAATCAACCTAAATTTAAAATTTTAGTAATTATCATCTATTCTGGTGATTACACAAATTAAAATACATTCTTAAACAGTACACTATTTATGGTAGTATAAAATTTCTAATAAATTTAACAAAAATGGATAGTTCTACAACTAGCCAAGGAAAACTCCTGTGGTGCAGTTGTTCAAAGCTGCCAGCTGCTGAACAAGAGAATGGTATGGCAATCTTCCTCTGCTGATCCTATTAGGAAGCTCTACTCTGTACTATTATATCAGGTGGTATTTTCAGTATTTAATTTGAATTATCTACTTGATGCAGCAAACAATCTGCATATTGTCAGGCATTTTCATGTTCCCAGTTTCAATAGCTGAGAGAACTGAAGCACAGATATCTGGGAAGTTGCTCAGAATCACTCAGATGGTATAGGACAAAAGTAAACGTTCTGCTCACAGAATCTATGTTATCAACGTTCACGTTACTATTAAGTCTTATGAGGTGACTAGTGGTTATGTGTCGGACTGCTAACCACAAGATTGATAGTTTCAACCCACCAGCTGCTCCATGGGAGAAAGACGAGGCTTTCTACTTCTATAAAGAGCTACAGTCTCAGAAATCCACAGGAGCAGTTTGACTCTGCCCCGCAGGGTCACCGTATGCCAACATTGACTAGATGGCAGTGAGTCTTTTATTATGTCTTACTGATGGACATCAAATAATATCAGAGTAAACTCATTGCTATTGAGCTGGCTTTGACTCCTAAAGACTCAATATAGGACTAGATGCTGTAAAGTTTTATTGGAGACGATAACCTCATCTTTCTTCTGCAGAGGGGCTGATGGATTTGAATCACCAACCTGTGGTTAGCAGTGCATCACCTAACTGACAGTACCTGTGTAAATAATATATATACCTTGACAATGAGTGGGGAGACAATATTATATCAATTGTCAAAACATAATATGTAGACTTAATATACTTCCCATAATTTTGAAGTGAAGGTAAACCATGCCAATGCGCAAGCATACTATATCACCGTGGCTGAGGGGACAGTACACATTAATATCAGATTGTCAGAGAGCATCATTTTTGATCTCCGACATGCTATCTGAACAATAAAGAGCAAATAAGTAGAACTTTCTGAAGCACAAGTGATATTTTTGAAGGCAAGATACAATAGCATACATAAGATGTACGGTGACACAAAGAAATGCTAAATTAATTGAAGAAATTATTATGAATTTTTAGTTGCTTTGAATAGTTCCATAAGCATGGAGGCCTACAAAAAAAGAAGAAAAAGCAAAATAAAACCCAGAGTATTATGACTATCATTTATTCCTTTAAAAGAATTTCTATAAATTATAAGAGCTCCGAGTTAGAAAGGAAGAATTATAATCATTTTCCATAATAACTCTGATGACCTAAGAGTTTCAATAAATTATACATGATCACAGAGTTATTCTGCTCTATATATCACACCCCGTTCTTTTTTTACATTAAAAATTTTTTAATGTATTTCAAAATTAACAAAAGCTGTAACTGATACTTCAGTGAATCTCTGCATTAGTACATTATAGGCATTAAAATGACTTTCAATGCCTAGTGAGAAAAATAGATGGGCTTCAAAATTTACCAAAATTAGTAAAGTTGTTGATATGCAATAAGTGGCATGGTGGCCGTGTCTGACCTGCTCTGGCTATGAGGCAGGAATCAGATGAGCCTCAAAGCTCCACCTTTATCTACTTTATCTATCCTTACTTTATCTACTCTGACACCAACTATTGCTTTCATGATAATCAACTTCTGGGCTGTTTTTATAATTCATTAAATTGGCCACACAGAACTCAGAGATAATACTTAGGATCATAGGGGTTTATTAGGGAGATCACTAGGTTACCAAGAGTCAGGAGGAATAAATATTAAGGATACAGTCATTAGTCCACAGTACACCTCTCTTCAGCCTGCAGTCATGTCTCACTCCAATCCTCAGCCAGCCTACTTCCCACCATCCTTGCCTCTAACTAGCCCTCTGACCACACTCACTCCTTCCAAGACAGATAGGTTTGTACTTTTAGCAGACCACGTTACTTTAAACATTCTTAACCAACACCATAATTCAGATGCATTAATTCTTCAGTATTCTTTATTCAATGTCCAAATTTCATATGCATAAGAGGCAATAGAAAACACTATGGCCAAGGTAAGATACACCTTAGTCCTAAACGTAACATCCTTGTTTTCAATACTCTAAAGAGGTCTTGTGCAGCAGTTTACCTAATGCAACATGCCTTTTGATCTCGACTTCAGGTTCTGTGATCAATGGTTGTGGATCCAAACAAGACAAAATGCTTGAAAACTTCAAACTTTTCTTTATTCATTCTGATGTTGCCTATTGGTCCAGTTGTGAGGATTTTGGTCTTTCTTACATTGAGTCATAATCCATGCAGAATACTACAGTCCTTTGATTTTCAATTGCAAGTGCTTCAAGTCCTCCTCACTTTCAAGAAGCAAAATTGTATCATCTGAATATTGTAGGTTGTTAATAAGTCTTCCTCTGATCCTGCTGCCACATTCTTCTTCATACTACCCAGCATCTCAAATATTTGCTCAACAAACAAAGCTTCTAAAGCATCTTGAGAAGAAATAACCCTGACACACCTCTTTTGATTTTAAGCCATGCAGTATTCCCTTGCTCAGTTTGCACAACTGCCTCCTGATTCATGTACAAATTTTACAAGAACAAAATGAAGTGTTTTTGGAACTCCCATTCTTCTGAAACCTATGCATAGTTTGATATGATCCTGGAGGCCAACCTCGCTGTCCTAAAACTGTACCAGTTCAACCCAGCCTTCTTTCAGACCATGGTCATGGCCCAGATCCTGCTGAATGCCCTCATCAACTTGCCCCACACCGACTTCACCCTGTGCAAGTGCATGATCGACCAAGCACACCAAGAAGAGTGGCCCATCCGACAGATTCTCTGCTTCATTGACCCACTGGAGACTTGCCACTTCCAGGCCTTCTGGCAAGCCTTGGAAGAAAACATGGACTTCTTGGAAGGCATCATGGGCTTTGAAGATTCTGTCCACAAGTTCATCTGCCACGTGGCGGGCATCACGTACCAGCACAATGACCGCTGGCTGCTGGCAGAGATGC